CATAACCGCCAAATATCACACGCCTACATAACCGCCAAATACCACATGCCTATATAGCCGCCAAATATCACATGCCTACATAACTGCCAAATATCACATGCCTGCATAACTGCCAAACCACTGAGAATCGTGGCTCAGCATGTTGCCGCCTCACGTTAGCCACCACGGTCAGCCTTAATCTCTCCTTGCACCTCTGTGTCCGTGGCTGCCAGACACACGTCTCTAATATAGTAGATTCTTTACTATTGTCATAAAGGGGGTGTGGGAGAAGGAGGTGGTTGCTAAGTGAGGAATCGGGGGTCAGCTTTTGTTTGAAAAGAGAGAGTTTGTCTGTGGAAAGTGGCTGCTGATGTATGAACTGGATGTCAATGAGGGTGCTGCCCAAACGGTGAAAGACCATCACAAAAGTTGTGTTTCTCTGTTTTGGGGTGCTTGTGGGACTTTGTAGTGGTTAAAGGAGATATAATTTCCTGTGATCTCTTTTATCATCCCAAATAAATATTACTGACCTGATTTTAGTATTTGTGCCTTTGTATATTTTTTCTTGATCATTGTCCCCAACTCTTGATTGATAAGATGCAGGCCCCATATGACGTGTTACTGGAGAGAAGTTAGAGAAATCCCGATTCAGACTCTAGGATGGTCAGGAGAGTGACTTCTCTCTCTCTGTTTCTTCTTTTTATTTTTCAATTTCAAGTTTTATTGACATATAATTCATATACCATTCAATTCCACGATTTAAACCTATTAAAAAGAGTTGTGCAATTATCACCACGGTCTATTTTAGAATGTTTTCTTCAGTCTTGTATTTATTGTCAGCAGCTCCTCACTTCCCTCCAAACTCCCGGACCATAACCTTAAGAAACAATCAATCCAGTTATTGGCTCTATGGCTTTGACTATCCTGGATTTCATATGCAGAAAACCATAAAACAAACCAACCCAACAACAATATCAAAAGAAAACACAGGAAAACCTTGTTCCAAACGAAAGAAGTACACAGTAAAATCGAAAACAAATTTAAAAGGGGTCCACGGTGGGAACAGATGATAAGGTGTTAAATTTCCACCTAATCACCTCTGCGAGGCACTCTCTGATAGGAAGGCTGTGCGCTCGCTGGAGCCTGAGTCCACATGGGGACCCTGCAAGGGAATTTGGGGCATAGAGTGACGTCTTTTGACACCGTTGAAGCAGTCGGCCAACAGATAACTCAAATCCCTCACGTCTTGCTTTGAGGTCTGGACAGAAACTCAGGGACGTCCTGTGCTGGCGCCAAAAGGAATCCTGGTTTCCTTCGGCTCTACCGGCTGAGAGGAAGCTCACCATGTTCTTCTGCGTGCTGTGGAACCAGAACCTCGGGTGGAGCCCCCAACTCCACCGATCTGTTATTCATTCAACAAACGCCCACGAGCACATCCTGGGAGCCAGGAGCTGCTCAGGAGAGGCTGTGCATCTGCCCACCAGCAAGGAGCTATCAAGAAGGTTCTAGAAGACACAGCCCAGGCCTTGTGGACCCCGTGGGCTTCTCCAGCCGTGGCAAGGGACCGCTCCTTGAAGAACTGCTTCTCCAGAGGCTGCTCTTTCCAGAAGGGAGTTGGTCATCCCCACCCAGCCCCCGCCTCCACTGCTGTGGTCTCCAGGTCTGGCCTGACCTGGCAGCGGTGTCAGTCTGGGGTGGCGGGGTAGTGGGGGGCTCTGAAGCCTGAGGTTTTGCAAGGCTGCTTCCTGCATCTGAGCCCACCACCAGGGTGCACCCTCGGCGGGCACCGCTTGGCCAGAAGGAAGATGCCAGCCTTTGCAAAGCAAGGACAACCAGGGCCCACGGCTCGATGTGGAGAGTGTTTGGCGAAAATGGGGAAGTCGAAACTGGCTTGTTGCTGATTTAGGAGTCAGCAAAATTACCCCCCCCAGTTCTCCAGTTTGGGCCCTGGGGAGCCATGAAGTCCCCCCACACGGCTGGACCTCGAAGACACTGTGGTGAAGGAATTAAACAGCCGTAGGAGGGCTGATGTCCTTCGGCCTTCCACGTGGGCTTCAAACATTTCTGGGCAAAGGGAATGTCACTGCCCGGATGTGAAGCACCTTCCGCACTGGCGCCTTGGGGCTGGCCATCTGCAGGGACCTCAGGGGAAATTTGCTGAACATTCAGTCTTACACACTCCTCCAACCCCCCCACCCCCCACCCCCCCGGAGCTGGGGCAGACTGGCTGCGCATGTGCATGCATGCGTTTACACACATTGACCGGAGAGGAAAACAGTGACAGTCTGGGTGGGGGCCCCACCCTGGGGCCCCACCCACTCGCTCAGATGACCAGAGGACGTGACAGGGCATCTGAAATGCCTGGGGCCCAAGGGGAAAGAGTTTCCAGAGAAGTTTGTCATGGGAGAAGGGTGTTGTGGGCAGGCTGGTCACTCTGGGGAGGGCCCGACGATCAACCCCCTTTCTCAGATACCCAACCTCCTTGCGAGAGCTGCTGGGAACTTGACTCCAGGTTCCTTTCTCCTTCAAGGACCTCCTTGAAGGAATGGTTCTCAGGAACCATTCCTCTCGACACCTCAGACCCTCAGGGTGCGTCTGAAGGTCATCTCAGACACTCCCATGTATGCGAATGGCCCAGCCAGTCCGGCTGGACTCTCCCTCCCAGGAAATGGAATCCTGACCGGAGGCGCCCAGGGGAGGAGAAGCCCTGGCCCTGCCTGACGTGTGACCAGGCCACGGCCCTTTACCAGGTTGGGTCTCTAGGCACCAGCCGACCAAGCAGCTTCCTGACCTGCTGCAAGGCAATCCATGTTTTCTTTTTTTTTTGCCCCACAATGTGGTTGATAGTTATTCTCCCAAAAACCCCAATTTGTATGTGTGCGCGTGTAGTTTTAGAACCTTTGTTAGATAATCTAGTTTGCATGCCCATTGGCTGTCTGTAGGTTTTTGGCAGTGGTGACCGGCATGTAGGGCTTGTTAGGTGAATGTTCATCCTCACTACGTTTCCTGGACAACCGCACCGGGAGACGGGACAGGACAGTCCTGATTCCTTTGGCCCAGAGAGCCTTGCTGAGTCTGGGGTCCATTCTTCCATCGGGTGTCCCTATCTCCTTCAGGGCGAACTTCTGGATCTCCTTGAGGGCCCGGGGGACACGCTTTTTGAAGCCCACGCTGTGGATGCGCTTGTGAGTGATGACGGTGACTCTGGTCCCAGCTGTCATCAGCCCTTCTCACTCACTGCCCTTATCTGTGGGAGCCACCGTGCTGGGACCCCGCTGGAAAGGGGAGAGCACAAGGAATTGTGGGAGAAGGAAAGTCCCCGCTCAGAACCCTAACTGTCACCTTCCGGGTTATTGCCTAAGTCGATGTTGTAAGAGAGAGGCTGGACTGAAGAGAAAAGAGGAATTATTTACTGGCTACGGTCACTTGAAAAACAATTGATTGGCTTTTGTCACTTAAAAAGAATTGCAGCTTCAGGTGTAGCTGGATCCAGGAGCTCCTTTCTCTCTCCATGCACTCTGACATCTGCTGTGGACTTTGTTCCCTGGTAGATTCCCACCTTTGCTGGCATACCAGGCTCTCCCTCCTTAAACTGCCCTTCCACCTCCCAGCACATTCCTGTTCCCAGAAGAAAGAGGGTTGTGCTCTTTTTCATACAATCCAGCTCACAGATCGAGTACGTGTGAGGAGAGGTGTGTTAGTGTGGGTTGACTAGAGAAACAAATCCAGAGATACTCGTCTTTATATAAAGAGTAATTGTATATTAAGCAAACATCCCAACCCAGTCCAGATCAAGTCCATAAGTCCCATATTAGCCCATATTCCGATACCAATCTATAAATTCCTCTTCAGACTCCCACAGCACATGCAATGACGCTGAATGCAGGAAGATCACAGGCCAGTGGGTGGAAAGTCTTGTGGATCCAGTGGCGGTGGAAGCATCTCAGCGCTGTCAGGGGTCTCCACTTGGCTCCTCCAGCTCCAGAGCTCTGGCTCCATCAGCTTGCTCCATGTGGCTTGTCAGCAGGAAGACAAAACATGGGGAGTGTGTTCCGCCTCCAGGGAGGAAAACAGGAGTTCCCAGAATGCTCAGGAGAAGGTATGCCCACCCACACAGAGGCATGATTGGCTATGACCTGATTGACAGACCAGACTCCACCCCTATAACCTATGTAACAAGTTGATATGAAACTATGTAACTGCCACAAGAGGCTACAACCCTGATGCACACTGTTACTGGTTTTAAAGCACTTACTATCCCCTTGAGGTCCTGGTGGCTTAGTGGTTATGTATTGGGCTGCTAACTGCAAGGTCAGCAGTTTGAAACCACCAGCTGTTCCTCCGATTTCTATTCCCGTGAAGAGTGACAGTCTCAGAAACCCACAGAGGCAGTTCTACCCTGTCCTAGGGTTGCTATGAGTCGGCACCAACTGAATGGCAGTGGGTTTGGTTTTGGGGTATCCCAAAAGTATCCCCTTGTTCTGGTCCAACGACTTCCTCTTGGCTTGTGTACACTTTCTGCGTGAACACATCGAAGTATTCTGGAATTTCCATTCTTCTCAGAGTTATCCCTAGTTTGTTAGGATCCACACAGTGGAATGTCTTTGCAAAGTCGACAGAACACCAGCAAGCATTTGCCTGGCGTTTTCTGCTCACCACCAACATCCACCTGATATCAGCAATAATACCCTTTGCATCCAGCTAGAAGAACTGAATTTCTGGTGGGTGACGGACTCCTGCATCCGCTCCTGACCTCTCTCCAGCCACATGTTACTTGCATGTGATAGCAATGGTATTGCTGGATCATTTCTGCTCACTGTTGGACTACTTTCTTTGGAATGGGCACAAACAGGGATTGGTGTCGTCGTTGGCCAGGTTCCTGCGTATAGATGAATGAGCATCCATCTTTTGTTGAAACATCTCAATTGGCATTCCATCCATTCCTGGACCCTTGCTTTTTACAATGCCTTCAGTGCAGCACGGACCTGGACCTTCAATAAGACTGGCTCTTGACCATGGGCTGCATCTTGAAAGGACGGAGCATCGACCAGACCTTTTTTGGCCCAGGGCCTCTGTGGATGCTTTCCATCTTCCTTGGTATTGCCTGTGTCGTTCAATATTTTGCCCATAGAATCTTCAGTCTTTGCTGCTCCAGCCGTGATATTTTTCCTGGCTTTGTTATCAGCGAAATTTGTGGGGGCGGGCCCTCGCTGTCTCCCCACGCGCGCGGAATTAGATGCTTTTGAGCCCATTTCCAATCACGACGACCCCACTTGTGCAAAGAATCGCTGTCCATAGCGCTTTCAAGGCTGGGGCCTTTCAGAAGGTGACCTCCAGGCCTTACGTCCGAAGCACCTATGGGCGTATTTGAACGGCTAACCTTTGGACTAGTAGCCCTGGGGTTCATACTCAGGTTCTGAAACTCTGGCAAGCTGCAGTATCAGACCCCGCCCGAGTTTCTGACTCAGCAGGCCGGGGAGAAAGTTGCTTTTCTAAGAATTCTCCTAAAGCACTCCACCCAGTCCAGGCACGTCCCTACAGCCCGAGGCACTGACCGGGCCGGCAGAGAAGCCAAGCTCCACCCCCAGGAGGGCGGGGCCCGAAGAATCCCCGCCCACTCCACGAAATCTCCGCCCTCATTGGCTTGGAGCGACGGGAGCCCCCGTACGTCACAGAGCTGGTGCCCGCCCATCCGAACTCCGGCCTGCGCCTGCGTAGTGCTATTCAGCGTGCTCCCCGGGCTGGCTGGACTCGGCGACCGGATGGCGGACCCCCGGGCGGAGTCTGAGCCCCTCCTGGGCCGGGCCCGCTTAGGCGGCAAACACGTATGTCCAGTGGAGGATGTGGCGGCAGCTGCGGTGGCCACTTGCCGCGGCGCCCAGGCC